AACCCTTAGGTAAACCAATATAAATAGCACTGCAGTAATCAAGCCGAGAGCAAAAAAACAAACAAACAAAAAAAAACAATTAGCATTATCAAAAGATAGGAAAGAATCAATTCTGGCAATGTTTCTTAAATGATGAAAACATGTTTTTGTAACTTGATTAATATGAAATTTAAAATTAAGATCACTATCGAAAATAACACCCAGGATCTTGATTTCTTTTTTAGATTGTATACATAAAGGACACAATTCTGCTTCAATCCTCTCTTGCGTAGGTTTTTTGTCTGCAATAAGTATTTCAACATCATACACCCGACTTGTGTCCTAACAGCAGTACACGGATCTGCCCTCATAAACCACAGCCACCTTGTGGCCTTCTCTGCGGCTTCGCTTGCGGATCGAATGGCCCTTTTCTTCGCCACGCCTGTAATGCACAAATGACTGAGAACTTTGCAAAGTGAACGCCCTGCAAAGCTTCTGCATCCGATATCTATGGGCTCATAGAAAAATTTCCAGCCTCTCTACCTGCACTCCTCCACTAATTCCTGGTACTTAGCGCGCTTCCTCTCATTCGCTTCTTCAATACGCTCTTCCCACGGCACTGTAAGTTCCAGAATAATTAGCTGTCTTGAAGCTTCTGAAATAGCTATAATGTCTGGACGGAGACGTGTTGCAGCGATGTGATGAGGAAACCTCAGCTGTTTTCCCAGGTCGACCTCCAGCTGCCAGTCCGAGGCTTTGTGGAGGAGGCCTGTTGTTAATTGTGGGAGGGCCCAGGGTTTTTCTCCAGCTTTGATGAAGTGGACTGCCTTCCTTGGAGCACGATGGTTCTTGCTGGTGTTAATGACTGAGGCTAAGCTCGCAGCAACTGCTGAGGAGATGTTCTAGAGAGCCTCTTCCATAGCAAAGAAGGCAGGAAGGTGTCTCATTCTTTCCCCAAACGTGGAGGTTCGATGGGCTTGGCAGTACATCGTAGACAGCTTGTACTAGGAAACGGACTCGTTGAAAATCCGCCTGCAAGATGTTCGCCCAGGTGATCCTACGTAGCAGTGTATTCTCCCACCTAGTCCATGCTCCCTGCTGCCGGAGTCCTACCACCCTGCTGACTCTCTCTTTCTCCACACCTGCTCGAACCTCTCCCTGGAGTGGGTGGTGTCCTTCCTTGCCTTTGACCTGGCTAACTAAGGTCTTTGGAAAATAGCCCAAGCCCGCTCTGCCTGTCTCTACAGTGCCCACCAGAGCCTTTTGTTTCAGGCGTGACTCTGCCACCTCCACTGCTTTCCCAGCATTCCATTTCCTGCCTGTCCTTACCTCGATGCAGGCTGATGACACCTTGCCGTCTCTAGAGTCCCTGTACTGTAGGGCTTCCCTGGTGCGTACGACCATGAATTCCTCTGTGAGGAGCTGCAAGGTGTTACTTGTCCCGTATAGTGCAGCACTGGTAAGACTGCGTGGGAGGCCCAACCATTTTTGAAGAAAGCCACTGATCTTCCTTTCTAGGGACTCAACTGTTGACATTGGGACTGCATAGATCAGCAGAGGCCACAAAACTCGGGGCAGAATTGAGTGCTGATAGATCCAGGCTTTGAATCTACCAGGCAGGCCGGATTTGTCAACCTTCGTCAGCCAAGCTCCAAGTTCTCTTTTGGACTACTTGATGGCTGCAGAGTCTTTTAGGCTGGAGTCAAAGAGCTTCCCCAAACTCTTGACAGGTTGCTCCGTGATGGTTGGGATGACATTCCTGAGATGGAAAAATGGAACTTGTCAACCACTTTCCCCTTCTTCAGCACCATGGACCTAGACTTGGAGGGCTTAAAACTCATTCTAGCCCAGGCGATGAGTCTTTCAAGTCCTTGTAAGATCCACCTGCTCCCTGGGACCGTTGTTGTTGCGATGGTAAGGTCATCCATATGCGCTCTAATAGGGGGCTGTCGCACACCCTCTGCATTCCACTTTGGCTGACTTGACCACCATGTTCATGGCGAGAGCGAAAAGAATAACTGAGATGGTGCAGCCTGTTATTTTTCCTTTCCCAATGCGATGCCAGTTTGATGTTTCTGAACCAGATGTGACCCGCATCCTGAAATTATTGTAGTAATCCAGAATTAGGTCCTTAATCTTACTAGGAACGTGGTGGCGGTGTAGAGCGAGCTCAACCAACTTGTGGGGTATGGACCCATAGGCATTTGCCAAGTCCAACCACAAGACAACCAAGTCCCCTCTGTTCTCATGGGCCTCTCTGATGAGTTGTGTAACTACTCCAGTATGTTCCAAGCAGCCGGGAACTCCAGGAATCCCTCCCTTCTGCACTGAAGGGTCAATATAATTGTTCTCGAGGAGGAACTCTGTCAGTCTTCGTGAGACGATGCTGAAAAACACCTTCCCTTCAACACTCAATAGAGAGAGGATTCGAAACTGGTTGATGTTTTTCGAGTTTTCCTCTTTAGAAATCCACACTCCCTCGGCACACCTCCACTGCTCAGCAACTTTTCCTCGTTGCCAAATCACCTTTAAGATCTTCCACAGATGCAGGAAAAGCCCTGGGCAGCGCTTATAGACAAGGTAAGGTATGCCACTAGGGCCTGGAGTAGATGTTGAGCTAGATGCCTTAATGATTTCCTTGATCTCCTTCAGACTAGTCCCCCTCAAACTGAACTCTCTTGCTGGAGGGGTGGGACTGATAAGTGCTTTGTTTGGCTCCAGCTCCTGCTCTCTCAGTGGATCACTCACTGTGTCCTCAATGAAGCGATTCACTTCCTCTATTGAGCACTCAAGTCGACCGCTCCGCTTGTCCCCGAGCAGCTGTTTTGTGAAGCCAAAGGGATTGTTGATGAAGGCAGCTCGCTTCCTGGCTCTCTCTAGCCCCTGTCTCACTCTGCCCTGCGTAGGATCATCAGCTTCTTCCGCAAAATGTTTTTCAACTCTGCTAATGGTTGCTTCTCCTCATCCCTCATCCGTAGCTTTCCTATACAGTTTCTTGAGGGAGCGAAGCTCCTGACGCAGGTGATGTATCTGGGTAGCCCTACAGTTCATAGTGTAGGGGGTGTTGGGCTTGGTCTTTCCTTTCTCTACGCAACCGAATCTTTCTAGAGCATAGCTGAAGATGATGGTAGTCATCGTTTTGAGTCGGCTATCTGCATCTCCTTTGGCTATGGCTTGAATGATGTTGGACACATCTTCATCGAACTGCAGCCACTCACTTCGTTTGCTGGCTGGGGGCCATTTAATCCGCTGTTGAACTATTTCGCTTGGAATTTGAGGCTCTGGTACATGGAGGGACTTGGCTCTGTGGGTTGCCTCCGGGCCGGGCTCTTCCTGCGTCTCAACAGGCTCAGGACCTGTGCGTTGCACCTTACTCTCCTGCTCCAAACATTTCATTCTGGCCTGATGGATTTTTAGGCCTCGATGGTTCTTACACAGCTTTCCGCAAATGCATGTCACATATATATATATATATATTTTTCCGTCATCTGTTCATTTGCATGGGTCATTAACCTTTGATCCGTCCGATTGGAGATCTCATCCTCCCCCCCTCTCGGGATCTCCTGGGGGTATATCTCTGTGGGGCTTTCCGTAGCTTGTTTGGGTTCTCTCTCACGAAAGACACAGGCTGGGGTGCTAACCCATACTGTCCCAAGGGCCGTCTTTCTGTGCCGTAAACTGTCTCTCCAGTAATCGACCAAACTATTCTTGGTTGCCACTTAGTCTATTTCTAGGAGTCACTGGCTGTGCCAGGCTTGAATTGTGCAAGAAACATCTCATGGATGCATTTGGGACACATCATTAAGGAACACCATATAATATATTATGTTCTTGCGATGTTTATTCATCTGTATTTACCAGAAATGTCCTTTCTGTAACATATGTATTGAACCAATTTAAAACTTTCCCACAGTGACCTACAAGTTTTTCCAGTCTGTTAATCAAAATGCAATGATGAACCGTGTCGAATGCATGTACTTGCAAAGTTTCTTATACTCAGTTAAATGTCTGTTTAAGGAACAGTATCAACAGATATTAAGTAAACAGTCTACTAATAATCAAATGGACCATCAAAATAAAATGTTACCTAGATCAGTCTTCTTTATCCAGTTGTCTATGGCCTTTAGGTGTTGCCACTAGCAAAGCCCAGATTCATCATGATGGCTTTGGTGGTGAACCTTTTTTCACTTCTCTCACAATCCTACTGGCCAGCACAGGTGTCATTTTTGGCTTCCAATCACATTCGCACTGTAGCCACTGGAACGTCAACACATTTAGATATGGTCTTTTAACCCTTTCTTGACTGGTAAGCAGCCACAATGCGCAGCCGCATGTCCTCACTTATCTTCTTTGTCTTAGCCATGACTGTCCACGAACCAACAACAGAGAGCTTCTGTTTTTTCACCTGTTGCATAGGTTAAAACACCCGTTTCCAATGAATCAGGCTAACTAGGAAGGTTTGGGATAGCTTGGACTATATGCATTGGTATAGAACTTTGGATTTTCCCATAAACTGAAATTTTGCAAAGTGAATAAATAAATTTGTACATGCCACTTTTTGTTAAAAAGTAAATAAAAGAAGCTGAGAAATATTTTTTTCCCTCACAATGTCTCTTGTACATAATTTTATCATCTTTTGGGAGAAGCCTGTGTGTCATTTGCAGTTAAAAACAAACTTTTTGGTTGAATAAATGCAACTTTAGGTCAGAATTTTCAAGGGGTACATATAATTTCGCACTTGAGTGTACACACACACACACACACACACACACACACACACACACACACACACACACACACACACACACACACACACACACACACACACACACTCAATATATATATATATATATTTATATATATATATATATATATATATATATATATATTAGTTTAAAAAGCTTAGATGAACCGCAAATTTTACTGAACTTGTTACAAATATACATACATACATACATCTTATTCATATGTTAAGCTTAATTTCTTTATGTCATTCATACTTTTTGTGTTAAAGGGATCAAGATATGCATAAACTGCTGTGCTTTGCCACCAAAAGGACAAGATGCCTCACCTTAAGTGTGAGTTTGATCATCTGTTTATTTATATTCTCTCAACCCTCTATACAAAGACACATCTTTGGAGTTTGTGCATGTGGTCAGTGTGTGGCTGACATCTTTTATGACGCATGGTTCCGAATGCACTACGACCCCAACATCGAACTTCTACTGACTAAGAAAAACAGCATACTCAGCGATGCACTCTACAGGTGGTGGCAAGTAAGTGCCATATCATAACAGGAATTCACTGTTACTGAAACACGTTGATACATTTAAAAGAAAAGAAAAAATAATCCACTTGATTATACTGCTAGAATCTATTGGGTTACACTTGTTATTCAACAAAGAAGAAAATTCAAAAATCATATATGTTCTTTTATTATTCGAACAGAAGCTACAGTATAAAAGCAGAGTGAACTACAAAGCAGTGTCAGAGATGTTATTTGGCATATTCCCAAATGAAGAAGATTACTCTGATGCTGGTCCAGGCCGCTGCAGAACCTGTGCTGTAGTGGGGAATTCAGGGAACCTTAATGGATCTCACTATGGTGTTCTCATCGATGCCCATGATCTTGTCATTAGGTGAATGAACACTAAATACAAAATCATTGCACTTATAGTATAGTTTTTTTAAACTGTTTAATTTTTGTTGTTGTATCCACAATGAAACAAGTGTCTATAGTTTACAGTGTAGTCAATGTCTTTTGTCAGTTCAAACTTTGCATAGAATATTTAAATATGTTATTTGCATTTAAATAGTACATTTAAATATGGTGCAACAGATTCTACTATATAGCTTGTTTCCAAAACACCTGAAATGTTACAATATTCTGTTTAGACATGGACATGGTTTGCCATAACAAAGATCAGATTTATGATGATTCTAAGCAATTTTATTAAATACATTTACTCAGATATTTTACTAATCTATGCCATAATTTGAAATGTTTTCATAATATTTTCAGTTCACCAAGGAAAAAGAATTAAACTTTATGTTTATTACATTATCAGTTAGTTAAAACTGTGTAATAAAAGTACATTTTCAAATATGAATACAACTATTTGCTTTTTATTGTAAGTGCAAAAGCACAAATAGGATGGAATTTAAAGTGTGACACTATTTGACAGGGAGGAAGGGCCATCCTCATCCACTTGTTTCCATATGTATTTTGGAATATAGCATTAGAAAAAAACATCTAGCAAACACCAAAATTCAAATAAAAAAACAAGTGCACTATTTTTCATGTTCATAATTAATGTGAATTATTAACATTTTACAATAGCAGTACATGAATTATGTGCTAATATTTAAATCTAAACGTTACTTTATCAAGAACAAATTATACACTAATCACAAACTAAGACCTTTAATCACATTTTCCATGAAAAACGTACACACTCGGTTGTGCTTTGCTGAGGGAAATTTTTATCTGTCTTATCATGTTGATGGCCAGAATATCTTTCTTCATCTATTTTAAATGGACGTCATGGTGGCTCAGTGGGTAGCACGATTGCCTCACAGCAAAAATGTCCCTGGTTTGAGCCTCAGCTGGGTCAGTTGACATTTCTGTGTGGAGTGTGCATGACCTCCTGTGTTTGCATAGGTTTCCTCTGGGTGCTCCGGTTTCCCCCAACAGTCCAAAAATATGTGGTATATGTGAATTGGGTAAGTTAAATTGTCAGTGTGTGTGTGTGTGTGTGTGTGTGTGTGTGTGTGTGTGTGTGTGTGTGTGTGTGTGTGTGTGTGTGTGTGTGTGTGTGTGTGAATGAGTGTGTATGGATGTTTTCCAGTCATGGGTTGCAGATGGAAGGACATTCGCTGCGTAAAACATATGTTAGATAAGTTGGCGGTTCATACCGATGTGGTGACCCCAGATTTATAAAGGGACTAAGCTAAACAAAACAATGAATGAATGAATTCTTTTTTTAAATATGTGTTTAAATATTCTCAAGCAACAGATGGTCTGAAAAGTTTGAAAGACCGGTCTTGTCTTCAGCATAAAAAATAGATTAGGCCTACGGGGTAAGTGAAACTGAATTAATGGGATACAAGGCTTTACATTAACACCCGCCAACCCGCCAAATGTGGGTAGATTTCAGCTCTGGCGGGTTAGACAGACACCTCCACTAGCCACATTGACTGGTTGGAAATAATTTTTAAATTGTAGTTTTCTTAAAAGCAGGGTTCGACAGTAAGCATGGCCCAATATTCGTGCAAATGTAATATTAAAATCGAGAAGAAGCACGACTGAAAAAAATAAATGTGTTTGCGCAAGCAAAAGATTGGTGACTACAGAAGGAGAGGATGATCACTCACACTAACAGCTGATGTGATGCGAGCTACTGTTAAAAAGCGTGCGCACACTTGTTAACTTGAGCAAAGCAACCGTGCCTAGAAAAAGTGCAACGGGTACGATTGGTTCCCTTTAAAATAGACTGGACAGAGAGCGATGATCGTGCACCCACAGTCCTGCTGCTTTCAAGAGCTCAAGATAAAAAAAATATTCTTTTGTAAGCAGCAGCCGTCACTGCTTTCATTTTAATTATTCTTAGAAAAGATTATCAACAGGTCTAACATTAACCGTGTGCACGGTATATTACACCTGCTTTCTTTTGCTTAAAGTTATTTTTGTTAATATGGTTTAATTATCATTTTTTACAATAACATTGCTTTAATGGAAGATTACTCCTGGTTTATGTGTAGTTAACTGGTGATTTGGGACTTTTAGCCAGGACAGATTACTGTGCATATTTTAGATACAGGACAATAATTATTTTTTAAATGTAATTTTTTTTAAAGAAAAGTTTTTTGAATTAAAAATTGCACCTATAAAGCTTTATTTTCCATGTTGTTACACATTTAAAAAATGTGGCTGAGAAATCCTTATTTGATGTAATACATACATTTGGTAAATCCCTAATTTTGAGTCCTGAAAAGTCATGAAATAAAAACTAATTGCATTCTGACACAGTCCATTTGCTCATGCACACTGAGCAAGCCAACACACAATACTCACAAGTTAAATGAATGAGAAGGGATGTGAACATAACACAATATCTAAATCAAGTAATTTAGCATGTCAAAGTCAAATTTAAGCAAAATATATTTTCCCAACAAGAAAAGTGTGGCTAGTAAAAATGGCGAGTGGCTAGTAATATTGGAAATCTACTAGCCAAGGGGCTGGTGATCAAAAAAGTTAATGTCAAGCCCTGACGGTATATGTGAACTGCATTAGGTCTATATAAATAAAGGTGGTGTCACAGTTGTGACAAATAATAGAGCAATAAGGGGAGGACTGGGACACAATTACAGGCAAGGAAATCCCACACCCACCCAGGTGATACTTTCCATGTAAAACAACTAAAGGCTTTTTATTTAAAGTATATTTTTTGTAGAAAAGCGACAATGCTCATTTATCAACTTTAAAACTGTAAATAAGCCAGTTAGCCACAAGGGCAAATTTTCATCAGTTGCCCAATACCAAATCTAAAAAAGGCAACCTAAAATCAAAAGCACATTATTACACCTACAATATCAGTACAGTTACATAGACCAAAAAGACAAATGTTACGGAATTGAGTAAGCATTATAAACATTAGAAATCGATTTATTTTTACCCAACACATAAAAATGAAAACAATATTACCTACGGACAACAAATAAATGATATCAGACAAATAAATAAATCTCCAAAAGAAAAGCTATACGAACCACTCGAACAACAAAATAGTGCTGGCTGGTCCACTAAAGCGGTTTCTCTTCTCCTCGTAAGCAAGAAGGTGCGTCCACCTATGGAAGAACTAGAACAAGAGTGCATGTGCATGCATCTATTTGCACAACTGTTGTAATATCGTCTTGCCCACCAAAATGAATGGTTCCATAAACCCAAGTGGATCAAACACAGATGCAATCGTAAACAACACTCCTCTGTAAGTAAACAAATGTTCCTTTATAGTGACTATAAACTGGAATATGTATTATCATATGTAATTGACCCTTGAACACCAAATGCTCTCTCCACATACACCTCATCCAGATCCATGTCCAAATCCTTTACCCCGTTAGCAAGATCTTCTTGAGGGATTGAAGGGATAACATTCTTTTTGTTGGAATAGAACTTGTGAAGTTTAAGTTTCCCAGTACAACAGAGTTTCTTAGCTTCCATCACAATTTTTTCAGCTTCAGTTGACACAATTACTAATCCATCATCAACATACAAGTTCCCTTGGATGAACTTCATAACATCTTCAGAAAAATCTTCCTCTTCCTTGAGCAGCAAGATGTTTAAGACCATAATTCACAGAACCAGGGAATGAAGCTGCACTGAATAAATGAACTTTCATTTGATATACGGATGTTTGAGCTTCAAAATTGTAAATGTCCCACCATAAGAACCTAAGATAATCTCTGTCCTCTGCTTTGACGTGAAACTGGTGTAACATATGTTCTATATCACACATAATTGCTACTGGAGTTCTCCTAAAATGACAAATGACCCTCAACAGTGTATTTGTCAGCTCTCGGCCTGTCTTATTTTCCATAAGAATCGAAGATCCTTTTGAGACATGCTACAATCTTCAGATTCTCGCTCATTAAAATCAGACTCAAACACCTTGGTGATGTTATGGATGTGGCCAATAATTATTTTGCTTTATTCAACAAATAGTACACCATAAACCACCACCTGCTAACCACGTGGGAACATTAGCTTAACAGAGGGAGTCCTTCGTGTCACACAAGAAACACAAATAACGCCTCCACTTTACTACTGAACTGGAGTAAATTAAATGCAATCCTAAAGAAACCATAGAAGGGTAAAATACATTATTTTTGGTTCGCTTGGTTTGGTCTTACAAAATCCAAGATTTTTACATACTTACACTCTCAAACTCTTATTTTTCTTCCTTTACTCTTCTCTACAGTCTGTATTAATGTATGTTTGTGTTTGGTGTTAGTTTCTGTTAGATTAGTCAAACTGTCATTTTGTAGGAAGAAGGGTGCCTGTGCATGTTTATGAATCTAATGCCTTAAAACATTAGCCATTTAAAACATAAATTGATTCTTTTTATAGCAATAGCCGTAGTTGAAGTTAAATTTGTTTATTCGGATTTAAATGGTCAATTCTTTTAAAGCCCTCTTCAAATTAATCTTCAATTAATTTGAAGTTAATTTGCTACAATGATGTCCATTGGGGAAAATACTTTTTTGATTTGTGTCGACAGACATAGTGCACAAACTAAGATTGACTGAAGCCTGTATACATGGCATTACTTGCCTCACAATAACCTGGTGAGTTGCTCCTTATGTATCTCCAGAGTCAATACATGGATTACCATGACCAATTGCACTCCATCCTAAATCTATCCCCTATGCACAACGTTAATTTTCTTCACCAGCCACCACCTTTCATGAAAGAAGAGCCTGTGGACAGTTGTATCAAATTAACAAGCCAACATCACAACCTTGTTGAGGAGCAAAAACATCTCCATATGTTTAAGATAAGGCCACATGCTCGCTGTTTACATTGGGCATAATAGAAGAAGTGCAGGTAATATTATTGTCCTGCATAACCTGGTTCGAA